TTGTGCTGTCTCATAATTATCAGCTAAATAAAAGAAAAGCTGCTCGACATGCTCCTGCTGACACCACGGCACTGTCAGTGCTCTTAAGCTGTCAGCAGCATGGCGTACTGATAACAAGGTTTTATTTTTATTTTTATTATTGTTATTGTTATTGTTATTGTTATTGTTATTGTTATTATTATTGTTATTGTTATTGTTATTGTTATTGTTATTGTTATTGTTATTATTATTATTATCATTATTATCATTATTACTGTTGTTGTTGTTCTTATTGTTATGGTTATTAATTATCATTATTCTTATCATTATTATTATTATTATCATCATTATCATTGTTATTATTATTATCATCATTGTTATCGTTATCATTACTATTATTATCATTATCATTATTATTATTATTATTATTATTATTATTATTATTATTATTATTAATTATTATTATTATTATCATTATCATCATTAAGCTTTCATAGTCACACTATTTTTCTTATTGTTACTGTTTGTGTTGCTGATGATATTCATATTATAGAGGAAACAATAATTATAGTAACATTGACGACAAGTCATTCAGCAATAACAGTGACAAAAAATAACAACAACAGCGTCATAATACATTCCTCCCTTCCAGATTCACGTTTCCGTCTGTCCTTGCAACACTCTTCCTTACCCCCGTGCCTCATTCCCCTCCCCCCCCTACAACCGCCTCTCCCTGTCCCCCCTCCTTACCTCTTCCTCCCTCTACCTCCCCATTGCCCCCCTACCACCCCCTCCTTACCCCTATCCCCCTCCCCTTTACAACCACCTCTCCCCCTCCCCCCTACCACCACCTCTTCCCCTCCCCTCTATCACCACCTCTTCCCCCTCCCCCTTCTCCCTTCTCCCTCCTCAAGACAGTCTCGAATATCGTAAAGGAGATTTCGAGCCCTGAACGAGCACCCCTTTCAGACGAACAACCTCAGCCACAATGGAACCACTTGCGACACCCGGAGTACCACTCGAAGCCTCAGCGAGCGAAAAAAAATGGTTTGGGAGTGCGGTGGGCTTGCTAAATGGGGATGTTTCTGTTTATGGGACGTTGCTGTATGAGGTTCCATAGATGTGGGTGGTTTATATATGAAGATTCATATATGTGGGAAGTTTCTGTATGAGGTTTCATATGTGTGGGGGTTTCTGTATGAGGTTTCATATATGTGGAGAAGTTGTGTATAAGGTTTCATATGTGTGGGGAAGTTGTGTATAAGGTTTCATATGTGTGGGGGTTTCTGTATGAGGTTTCATATGTGTGGGGGTTTCTGTATGAGGTTTCATATATGTGGAGAAGTTGTGTATAAGGTTTCATATGTGTGGGGGTTTCTGTATGAGGTTTCATATGTGTGGGGGTTTCTGTATGAGGTTTCATATGTGTGGGGGTTTCTGTATGAGGTTTCATATGTGTGGGGGTTTCTGTATGAGGTTTCATATGTGTGGGGGTTTCTGTATGAGGTTTCATATGTGTGGGGGTTTCTGTATGAGGTTTCATATGTGTGGGGGTTTCTGTATGAGGTTTCATATGTGTGGGGGTTTCTGTATGAGGTTTCATATATGTGGAGAAGTTGTGTATAAGGTTTCATATGTGTGGGGGTTTCTGTATGAGGTTTCATATATGTGGAGAAGTTGTGTATAAGGTTTCATATGTGTGGGGGTTTCTGTATGAGGTTTCATATGTGTGGGGGTTTCTGTATGAGGTTTCATATATGTGGAGAAGTTGTGTATAAGGTTTCATATGTGTGGGGGTTTCTGTATGAGGTTTCATATATGTGGAGAAGTTGTGTATAAGGTTTCATATGTGTGGGGGTTTCTGTATGAGGTTTCATATGTGTGGGGGTTTCTGTATGAGGTTTCATATGTGTGGGGGTTTCTGTATGAGGTTTCATATGTGTGGGGGTTTCTGTATGAGGTTTCATATATGTGGAGAAGTTGTGTATAAGGTTTCATATGTGTGGGGGTTTCTGTATGAGGTTTCATATATGTGGAGAAGTTGTGTATAAGGTTTCATATGTGTGGGGGTTTCTGTATGAGGTTTCATATGTGTGGGGGTTTCTGTATGAGGTTTCATATGTGTGGGGGTTTCTGTATGAGGTTTCATATGTGTGGGGGTTTCTGTATGAGGTTTCATATGTGTGGGGGTTTCTGTATGAGGTTTCATATATGTGGAGAAGTTGTGTATAAGGTTTCATATGTGTGGGGGTTTCTGTATGAGGTTTCATATGTGTGGGGGTTTCTGTATGAGGTTTCATATATGTGGAGAAGTTGTGTATAAGGTTTCATATGTGTGGGGGTTTCTGTATGAGGTTTCATATGTGTGGGGGTTTCTGTATGAGGTTTCATATATGTGGAGAAGTTGTGTATAAGGTTTCATATGTGTGGGGGTTTCTGTATGAGGTTTCATATGTGTGGGGGTTTCTGTATGAGGTTTCATATATGTGGAGAAGTTGTGTATAAGGTTTCATATGTGTGGGGGTTTCTGTATGAGGTTTCATATGTGTGGGGGTTTCTGTATGAGGTTTCATATATGTGGAGAAGTTGTGTATAAGGTTTCATATGTGTGGGGGTTTCTGTATGAGGTTTCATATGTGTGGGGGTTTCTGTATGAGGTTTCATATGTGTGGGGGTTTCTGTATGAGGTTTCATATATGTGGAGAAGTTGTGTATAAGGTTTCATATGTGTGGGGGTTTCTGTATGAGGTTTCATATATGTGGAGAAGTTGTGTATAAGGTTTCATATGTGTGGGGGTTTCTGTATGAGGTTTCATATATGTGGAGAAGTTGTGTATAAGGTTTCATATGTGTGGGGGTTTCTGTATGAGGTTTCATATGTGTGGGGGTTTCTGTATGAGGTTTCATATATGTGGAGAAGTTGTGTATGAGGTTTCATATGTGTGGGGGTTTCTGTATGAGGTTTCATATGTGTGGGGGTTTCAGTATGAAGGTTTCATATATGTGGAGAAGTTGTGTATAAGGTTTCATATGTGTGGGGGTTTCTGTATGAGGTTTCATATGTGTGGGGGTTTCTGTATGAGGTTTCATATGTGTGGGGGTTTCTGTATGAGGTTTCATATATGTGGAGAAGTTGTGTATAAGGTTTCATATGTGTGGGGGTTTCTGTATGAGGTTTCATATGTGTGGGGGTTTCTGTATGAGGTTTCATATGTGTGGGGGTTTCTGTATGAGGTTTCATATATGTGGAGAAGTTGTGTATAAGGTTTCATATGTGTGGGGGTTTCTGTATGAGGTTTCATATGTGTGGGGGTTTCTGTATGAGGTTTCATATGTGTGGGGGTTTCTGTATGAGGTTTCATATGTGTGGGGGTTTCTGTATGAGGTTTCATATATGTGGAGAAGTTGTGTATACGAGGCTTCAAATCCCCGCCCCACCAACCAGCCCACCATTAAGATAAGAAACACAACCCAGTTTATGCTTCCCCCACACAACATGCCTTCCCTCCTTCCTTCCCACGTGTTCACTCACTCTTATCTCCCCGTCTCCTGCGCCTCACTCGACCATCCCCCCCCCCCACCCCGTCCCCTTCTCCTTGCAGTGGTTCTGTTGACACGGCTGAAACAATGGGTTTGTGTAGTGCCGTGTGTGAAAGAGTGAAGCTGTTGTGCATTTGTCTTCTTTTAATGAAAAACTGTCTCTGTATCTGAATGTCTAATGTTTCTATTCTGTGTGTTTATTTGGCTTGTTTCATTTATCTATGTATCTAATCAATTTCATTATCTATTGATCTATCCATTACTGTAGACTGTCGAATATTTTATGTATCTATTGATAGAGCTATATTTTTTTCATTCCTACAGTTATCAACTTTTCTGCATGTCTTTGTACACAAAAAAAAATATATTTACATACTTTACTTCCAGTTATATATGGACTACAGTGAAGTAAAAACGTGAAAATAAATAGGTAAACAGACAGACAAATACCTATCTACGTACGTTCTGTCCGGGTAGATATTAGCTTTTCAAAACATGCACAACTGCACAAACATTGAAACACCAACTCCAGACACTATATTACTTGGTCAAGAGGAATATTTCTGGAAACAAATACTTTTATCTTATCTACAGATCCAACACTCTGAAGTTTCAGCCTGATACAGTCTTTTAGTCTGAAATTTTACCTAATAAGGAGACAAGTTTTGCTCCACCCAGTCTCTGCCACTCCTAATGTCATCTTACCTGTGTTACCCTTCGCATCGAATACCAGTTCTAGGCCAAAATAAAACCTCAGTTTATTATTATTATTAGAGAGAGAGAGAGAGAGAGAGAGAGAGAGAGAGAGAGAGAGAGAGAGAGAGAGAGAGAGAGAGAGAGAGAGAGGGAGCGAGAGGGAGCGAGAGGGAGCGAGAGGGAGCAAGAGAGAACGAGAGCAAGCGAGAACGAGCGAGAGAGAGGGAGAGAGAGAGAGAGCGAGAGAGAGCGAGAGCAAGCGAGAGTAAGCGAGAACGAGCGAGAGAGAGGGAGAGAGAGCGAGAGAGAGCGAGCGAGAGAGAGAATGAGAAAGAGAGAGAGAGAGAGAGAGAGAGAGAGAGAGAGAGAGAGAGAGAGAGAGAGAGAGAGAGAGAGAGAGAGAGAGAGAGAGAGAGAGGCGGAAAAATACTTGTAAGAAAAAGAATGAAAATGATAAAACAGCAAAGAAAAAACGGGGGAGACAAAGAGCGAGAGAAAATTATGGAAAATATAAGAAATCAATAAAAAAAGAAAAGAAAAAGTAACAGCTGAGAGAGCATAATAGATCAAATAATTGAACAGAAAAGAAAAAAAACGGAAGAATAGAAGAAAAGAAATAAAAAGAGGGAATAATAATAATACCGCAAAATAGAAGAAACAATGAAATTAAAATCAAAACTAAGAAAATAATCCCCTAATAAGAGAAAGACATATAACAGAGTAAAAAAAAAAGAGAGAAAAAAGGAAAATTATCCTAAAAACTGAAAACCGCAACGCGTGCTGACCTGTGCCTTCCGCATGTAGATTTCGATCTCCGAGTAGGGGTCCTGCGCCGCCGCCCCGCCGCCCACGGCCGCGGCGCTGGTGGCGGTCGCTGCCATCATGGTCGAGTGGGCGTGTCAACAGGTGGGCGGGGCTACAGGTGGGCGTGGTGACGGCGGAGGAGGGAGGGCTTCCGGCGCCTCATGGCTGACAGGTGGCAGAGGCGACGAAGGCAGCGGAAGGCGGCTCAGGACGGCGCCATCTGTGGACGGGGAAGGAAATCAATTAGTGAGGGGGGGGAGGGGGTAAGGCTGCCTCGGAATCTGAGGTTTTGAAGATGATGGAATATGTTTACGTCTGACGGTTTGTTTGTTCGTTTGTTTTCGCATTAGGATGATAATTTCATGAAAAATGCATCCATCATTTCATCTGAATCACACACATATATAGTTACATATGTAGATAGGTAGATAGAGGGATAAAGATATAGAGCTAGATAGTTTTCCTTTTTATTTTCTAAATAGTTTCCGACCCTCCCCCCTCTATTCTCCCCCCCCCCAAACCCATGGCTCCTTTAACAAAGCTAAACAAGTTTTTACTTTTGCGCGAGTCTTTTCCCCTTATTTGGGAAAGCGACACCGAAGCAATCGCCAATTACATAATTCCTTCTGTTCGCCAACGAGACGCCCGAGCAACGCAGACTGGCTGGCGAGGACGAGGTGAGTCATGAGGCAAGGAGACGCCGACAATGCGCTGGAATTTCGGTCTTATTGACTTCGAGGGGGGGAGGAGGGGGAGGGTGGTGAGGCAAGTGGGGGGGGAGGGGGTAATTCATGTTTTATCTGGTCATCTGTTGCTTGTCTTCTGTGCTTTGTCTCTTTCGTTTGTTTTCTTATCCCCTGGTTCTTTGTTTCATTCTCTTTCTTGCTTTCTTTCTTATTTTCCCTCTCTCTCTCTCACTCTCACTCTTTCCCTCCGTCCCTCTCCATCCTCCCTTCTCTCTCCCTCTCCCTCTCTCCCATCTGCCCCTTCCTTCCTTCCCTCTTCCTCTTCCTCTTCCTTCTCCCTTCCACCCACCCTCCCTCCTACCCACCCTCCCCACTCCCTCTCCATCTCTCTCTCCTCCTCCATCTGTCTCCCTCTCCTTCCACGGACCGGGTCGAGAGCGTGTTGCATGCATCTCTTTATGCAACAGACGGCTATTATACTCACAAATGAGGCAACAGGAGAGAGGAGGGAGAGACCCAGGCGAGCAACATGGACAACTGTTGCACCCACTGACCCGAGACGCGAACGTAGAGGAGAGACGATAAAAGTGTGTTTGGTATTAAGGAGAAGAGAGAAAGGGAATAATGTGAAAATGAGGAAGGGAGAAAAAAAAATAATACGATGTATAATAAAGATAGTGATAACAATAAAATGTAGAGGAAAGGCGATAAAAGTGCGAATGAGATTAAGGGGAAGAGAGAAAAGGGAGAAAAAGCGAGATAATGCGATGTGTAAAAAAGATAATGATAACAATAAAATGAGATAAAACAAAAGAGAAAAAGGATGGTTTGGAAAATGAAGGGGTGGATAAGATCATGAAGAGGAGAGGCGATAAAAAAGTCTATAACACATTAAGAAGAGAGAAAGGGATAATGTGAAAACAAGGAGATGAGAAATAATGATACAGAAATAAGATAAAATGGGGGGGTGAGGAGGTAAGAAAAACGAGATAATGTAGAGGAGAGACGATAAAAGAGTGTATAAGATAAAGGTGAAGAGAGAAAATGGTAATCTATGAAAATATGGAATGGAGGAAGGGACGAGATAATGCGAAGGTGATGCAAAGATGTGTTAAAATAAATAAATAAATAAATAAATAAAACAGAGAAAGGAAAATTTAGGAACATGATAGGGTGAGAAAATTCGAGATAATGTACAGGAGAGGTGTTAAAAGTGTGGATAATATTAAGAAGAGAGAGTGGGGTAATCTGTGAATGAGGAAGGAGAAAGAGCGAGATAATTCGAAGGTAAGGTGATGAAAGTGTAGGAAAAAGTAGAAGAGAAATGATATTATTCTGATATGGAAAGAAAGAAAAATGTAAAAATATGAAAAATCGAAGAAACGAGAGAAAATTATTGTGTGAAGAAACAGACATTTAAATAAATAATAATTTTAAAATCTGGTACTTAAAACGGAATAGGCATAGTACAGAATGAGAACAGCAGAAATACAGAATAACCATGAGAATGGTGAGATAATATAAAACTAAAATAATAATAATATTAAGAATAACTGGAAAAATCGAGGTAATCAATAAATAATAGGCATATGAGAAAATTAAGAATTATGAACAATGAAAAATGGGTAAATTATTCAAGAGAAGTATGTAAAACATGCATTAACATAAGCCAGCCACACTCCACAATAGAAATATCCATTTCGAAATCCGCGCGATTTGGGAAACGTATAATTACCTCGATGTCATTAATAATTATGGCGCTCTAACCCACACGCCTCCCATGGGTTGCGAACATGGTTAATGGCGGCAACAAAAAACAAAAGAAGATCGCGGGGAAGGTAACGAGATTTCTCCTTTTTGGACGAAACCGATAATCAGCTCTGTCACTCTCGCACGCCGATCTCACACACACACATACATACATACACACACATGCATATACACATACATACATACACATATGCATATACACATACATACATACATATACAAACGCACACTCACATATCCCCCCTTTCTGTCTCTTTCTATATCTCCATCTCCATCCCTATCCCTATCTATATCTTTATCTCTGCCTCTGCCTATGCCTTTGTCTCGGTCTCGGTCTCTATTTCTGTCTCTATCTTTATCTCAGTCTCAGTCTCTCTCTCTCTCTCTCTCTCTCTCTCTCTCTCTCTCTCTCTCTCTCTCTCTCTCTCTCTCTCTCTCTCTCTCTCTCTCTCTCTCTTTCTCTCTGATTCACGCGAAAAAAACTGGCAAAACCTCTGTCCTACCCTTGCTCTGTCCTCGCCAAATATGGTGATATATACATGCAATACCTTCTCGAGAGACACTCATATAGAGGAAAAGAATACGTCTAGAAAATAATAGATAAACATACAAACAAACAAATAAACAAACAAAAAACAAACAAAAAACATAAGGAAATAAAAGATATATTTTTGAAAATTGAATAAATAAATACAAAACGATATGAATGAAATAAAAAGAACGAGAGAAAAATGCCCCCAAGGCAACATGCCACAGCTGGTCGAGAGCTGGCTTGCACATGCACATAAAAAACGGAAAAATGAAAATTGCAATATCCAACGAACGATATTGTGCCATCTGCTGGCGAGGCGAATGACAGTGACGAGTGACAAGTGACGAGTGACAAGTGACATGCAAAACGGCAGGATTAATCAAGGTCTTCGATCAATCAGCGAGAGATGAGGGGTCCCTTGTATCTATAATGATTGACATGATGAAAAAGAAAAGAAAAGAAAAAAATATGAAAAAAAAAATTAAATATATATTTTTATGAGTGTTTTCTTAGGGAGAACTGTAGTGATGATAATGGCAATATTATGATTGTTATTATTTCGATCGTTATTAACAAAATAATATTTATAAAATGTATAGTGATATTACACTAAACAATGACGCAGTTTATGATAAGGAAGCACAATAGCATAACCCGCAAAATCATTACCACAAAAACCAATAACTGTAACTGCTACTGAATTTAAAACTGTGGTAGTATATAACAACACCAAACAATGATAACACCACCAACAAAATTAATACAAGGAACACACCAAAAAAACAAACAAACAAAAAAACGCACATCCACCACCTATTCCCCCTCCCTTCCATCCCCCCTCCCCCTCCCCCTCTTCTTCTCCCAAGCACACTATCGGGTCCACGTGTCGGCTGTCCGTCTTGAGACACAACAGGCGGGACTTGCATTGCCTCTCGCTTGTCATCCGGCTCGACTGCGCTCCGGTGGGGGGAGGGGGGGCGGGGGGAGGCTTAACTTTTGCACGTGGAACGCTTGGACGGACGAGAATAGTGCAGAAGTGTAGGGAATGTTTCTCAAGAGCATATTGCATTTTGTATTTATCAATAGGGATTTTTTTTCTATATATATTTTCATTTACGCGATGTATAATAAAGATAATGATTACAATAAAATGTAGAGGAGAGGCGATAAAACATACACACATGCTATTTCCATTCTAAGTTCCACATATAAAATATAAATAATATACAACAAAAACATCCTACAACTACCTACGTAATCGCATTCAGCCCCCCCCCCAAAAAAAAAAAAAAAAATCTTTTGGAAATACGGGATCTTAAGTCTGGGAAAATGCAACCTCACGACACAGCAGTTTAGAAGTACACGTGTTAATGTTTACTTGGCTGTATGTCTGCTGTTTCTTACCGTTCATGCGTTAAGTTGGACAGGAGGGTCGATGCACAATGTGTGTGTGTGTGTGTGTGTGTGTGTGTGTGTGTGTGTGTGTGTGTGTGTGTGTGTGTGTGTGTGTGTGTGTGTGTGTGTGTGTGTGTGTGTTTAATACGAACCAAGCCATGTGAATATACTTACTCTTCCCCCTTGGTTTTCATTCCGTATTCGTATATATTTTCCTCTAAATATGTCGACATGCGTATAACATGCACCTCACATTCCATATGAAACTCCATATGAAACACATCGAGTTCAGTCTGTTGTACATATCATGTACTTTATATTATGGTCAGTTGCTTTGGTAAAAACTGATATGCACGACACTTTAAGTCATGTAAGTATTGCGCCATACTGCATATGTACACCTTCACAAATCCAGAGTCGTGACATGTACACCAGTGTTTCTGGGACATACACACATACACATACATGTGTACAGGTTCGAGACGTTGTTACGCTGTGGTATGTACTTATAAGGTCAGACAGCTCATCCGGACAGAAGGAAAGGAACCTGAAGGAGAGAGCGAGAGAGAGAGAGAGAGAGAGAGAGAGAGAGAGAGAGAGAGAGAGAGAGAGAGAGAGAGAGAGAGAGAGAGAGAGAGAGAGAGAGAGAGAGTTAGAGAGAGCCAGAGCAGACAAACTGCGAAAGGGGAGAACTGCTGTGTCGTTCAGGTAATCCCGTCGTGAATCCAAGCAGGAGACAAATGCTAGCTGGCAGAGGGTTCCAGGATTACTGTGGCAATATTGAACACACTTCATGCAAACACACATGTACAAGATGACAAACGGGTGTTGTTGTTC